CCAGTCGTTTTTGGATAATCTTCAGGAGAATCTTGCTTGCATCTTCATAATATTTCTATGACACATATATTTTCCCATCATAGGTGAGAAAGCTATAGCCCTAAGAAGTAGAGGTGCTCAAAGGTATCCACGTAATAAACTATATGACATATTGAAATCCATGCTCAAAGGTGAGATGTCATGCTATAACTATTGTGCTATCTTCTTAGTAACAGGAGCATGATGACAAGTCCTCAGCAGACACTTGTGCAAAAGTAAATGGAGATGCCATCAAAAGGTTAGAGGGTAGTGGGATATATGCAAATAGCTGTCTAAATATTCTGTGACTGGTGAGGAATTGAGGACAGTTGTTCCCTTTTCAAAACTTCTGTTGGAGTTTACTGAAAATTTGAAGCTCTATTATTGAAGTTAGGGATGACAATTTACCAAAGTCTGCTTCTCAAGACACCCCAGCAAGATAAGGCTAAAGAGGTTAATTCCCTTCTTAAACTGTTATGGAGCATGTAAAATACCTTTCAGTTTTAGATAAGAATCAATAACTTCAATTAAAATTGATAAAAGAATATTTTATAAATATAGTCTAGAACAGAAACTAAAAACCAAGACTTTAATTTATAGTGTTAAATGTACTTTCTAACCATTCCAACATCTATAATTTGTTAAAATAATTTTTTTTTACTACTACAAAAGTTTTTTGGACAAAAACTTAATATCAAGTATGTACAAAGCTTGATTTTTTTGATCATAGTTAAATGGGTCCTTGGGAGAAAGGAAATATGGAAGCAACTGATTTCCAAGGCTTCTAACATGATGATACTATTACCACCATTTTTATATTGTTATATTGTCAACTAGTTGCTATCTCCACATATTTATCTATTACAAGTTAATAAAGGAATCAAATCCCCACAGTATACTTTGTACATGTCTGTCACCACTTAATTTCAATGATAACTTCTTGTCAATACTTTTTTTCAACTCTGGAAGATGAGCTTTGCTAATTTTGCACACTTGTAAGACTCAGTGCTGTGTTGAAACAGTACATGTGGCCTCTAAAATAATTGTTATGAAAAGTGCTGGCCATCTTCAGCTGGTACCAGTGTATCATACGTAAAGGCATAAGCATAACCTATTTCATTTGACAGAATTTCCTTGGTATAAAGATGTAATGAACTCTGCAGGAAAATTTGCTGTGAGAATCTAACACTAGCATTATAGAAAATGGAAACAAAGAAATGACACCTCTTCAAAATATAGTTGTCCTCTTAGGAAATATGCAAGAGAATCTCCTCTTAGTATTCTTTCCTTCAATAGGTTCAATGCCTTGTCCACCAAACGAGCATGCTTGTATTGATCTGAATAATAATAAAAAAAAGGGCAAAGGAATTTAATTTTTAACCATACAGTATGAATGTTCCCTCTTGAAATAATGAATTACATAGAATTCACCTGACTCTGGTAATACTAGTTTTCTTCTTAGTTTGCGGTTCTATAGTTTGCCTCCTTAAATCAGAGAGAAAGCAATAGAATAGCTCATCCACAAAGACTGTTGTTGTTATATGCCACCAACTATGACACACAGCGACCCTGTGAACAACAGACCTAAAATGTACCCTGTCCTCCACCCTTCTCATCATCACTGATACGCTCAAGCCCACTGTTACTGTTACTATGTCCATCTGTCTTCTTGGGGGTCTTTCTTTATCTACAAAAGTAGAAGAAACATTTTCAGATTCATCCTCTGAACCCTAAGTACATTTATAGAAGCGTTTGGAGAATTTGAGGCTATTTGGCAC